GCCCTAGCCGGGCCCCCGCTGCGTCTCCGGGGGGTCCCGAAGCGGCAGAAGGTCCTCTCGAGGCGCGGGGCGGGCTGGAGGCCTCTTCTTGAACAAGGCGTTTGCAGAGTTGGGTTTTAAGGGAGGGGGAGGCATTTAGGTGGCAGAGATGCGGAGTATACAATGGGTTAACTTATTGCACTAAGCCATGATGCGTAGACCTCTGCTTTGCTGAAGAAGCCCCCATTGATTGGACTCACGTACCACACCAGGCCATAAACCATGGTTAAACACCACAGTGGCCTGGTTCAGCACCATGCTAATCACACAGCCTACCAATCGGATGGACCATGGCCTGTCGTGTTATATGTATTCATCCAATGGGGGCGAATTCAGTTCAACACATTCTAGTTCCACGAACCAGTGGCTCGGTTCACACAACATGCTGAACCCAAATCAAGCAAACTGCATTATGTCGCAATGCTGCATTTGAACACGCTGAAGTGCGTTGGACTCTCATCAGCCCCAGCCAGCCTGGCCGGAGGTCAGGAATGCTGGGAACTGTAGTTTATCCACATCTGGAGACACATCAGTCCCCTGAACTGCAAGAGAGATTTGTGAAATGATCCGCCTAGAATGGGAGGAGAGAAACGAATGACGTTCATTCCTGTTCCGAAAGAGGAGACATTCAGAATAGTTACAGGAAGGACTTCTCCCCTCATCATATACTGAATGCAATTAGTGTATTGCCACAATCCCCCCCCCCCACACTTTTATGCCTTCAAGTCAGTCTGACTCCTGGCCAATGCCTGAAAAAGCCCCTGCAGTTTTCTTGTCAAGGATTTGCGGAAGGGGTTTGCCATTGCCTGCTTCCTAGGGCTGAGAGAAAGCGACTGGCCCAAGGTCACCCAGATGGCTTCATACCTAAGGCAGGACTAGAACTCACGGTTTCCTAGTTTCTAGCCCTGGTCCCTTAACCCAGTGTTTCTCAACCTTGGTGACTTGAAGATGTCTGGACTTCAACTCCCAGAATTCCCCAGCCAGCATGCTGGCTG